GTCTGAAACTGAAATATAAAAAAGTTTGTAGAACCTGGGGCATCGCTAGCTTTACAAATATTTCACACACAGTAGGAATATATTTTGAACAAATCGAATCTCTTCAGTGAAACTAGCCATCAAGGACAGTTGTGTGATATTGACCAGTCTGGTTTCGCCTCAACAATTTCTTTGCTTGTTTAGATTGGCTCACTTTTATAACCCAATTCCAGCAGGTATCTTTTTTTCCCTCCTCATGAAGACATCAATACAGTGAGCAGCAGGAGATGTGGGGGTGTTGCAGATTAAACTGTTGGGTTGAGGCCCGAGCTTATCAAAGCAACACGCTGTCGTGATCAGAACATGCGATCTGGCCTATCAGCTGCCTCCTCGGTGGGAGAGGTCAAAGACATCGCAACCGCTGTCGAGTTCAGCCGGAGGGATTCTGTGCAAAAACCGCCTGTAAAATCATGTAAAATACAGTTTGAAATGCAGGAATTCATTTCAATTCAGTTTATTTATATACATTTAAATGTAAATAATGTATCTTCGTTATACACCAAAGTTAGTCATGGAGTTCCTCAGGGTTCAGTGCTTGGACATATACTCTTTACCGTAAATATGCTTCCATTACGTAAAGGTATTAAACAGCATGGAATAAATTTTTGTTATGCTGATGATAAAAAGTTATACTTGTCCAAGAAGGGAGGTCAGAGTCAAAGATGCTGTTGGAGGGTGCTGTTGGTTCAACTTTGCAACTCCATTAAAGGATTTACTGAATGCAAGGTGCAAATACTACTCGTAGATACTAATGTTAATGTAATGTGAGATAATATTCCTACATAATTTCCTCATCATATTAAAAATACTAGTAGAAAATAGTTTTTAAAAAGATGACATTACAATGAAAACTTTAAAACGTGCTCAGTTTCAAACTAAATCGACATGCTGTTTAATCGTCAGATCACTAAGGCATCTACTATAAATAATCTTATTTTTAATGAAATAATCTTGCTTTTGTTGCCGTGTTACTTTTCTCTCACACTGATCTTTAGTTTAAAATACAAAAACTGTTAGGTTTTGTGCTAAATTAAAATTAAATGACTTAAAGGTGGTTTGTTTAATTCTGACCAGGCAATATGTTTCCATGAGAGCCTGTAGGACAAATTCAGCTGCAGGGACAGACTGTGGCAGTCATTCATCAACACAAGACCATTTAAAATATATACAGTGTTTTGTATGCTTATAAAAAACACGAGACACTAAAGTTTTGCATATTTTTGGCAATAAAGTGTGTCTTTGCGTCATTTAAAATATACACACAGATGCTCAGTGTGTCTCCATTTGGTGTTTCAGTTGGCTCAACGCAGCGAGAGAAAAAGGAAGTAGAGGATTTTTTGTTTAAATTTGTCTTTATTACATTGATATGATACGTGCACCACTGTCAGGAGAGTGGAAGAAAACCAGCTGCTACATGACTTTTTCCTCCTCCTGAGTCTGTTCACATACATTTCCCTCACACTGTCACTCTTCCACTCCAATTTGTTCAAGGAAACAAAGCTGGCATTCAGAATTTATTTGTGTGAGTAGGCTGCCTCCCTGTGGTGGACATTTGTTTTTCTTTTAATTTCATTTAATGCAAGACGGTGATCTAACAAATGAAACATTAAAGGAATGCATATCGCCCACTGCCTTTCATGACAGAGTTTTGAACTGAAATCATCTTATGGCAATAAATAAGAGTTATTATGGCCATTTGAACTTAAGTTAATCAGCTGTAGTTGTACATCCAATGATTGATTTCTGAGCGTTGCATTAGGACACGTCCAATGGTTCAGTAGGTATTTTGCTAACAGACAGACAACATTGATGCACTATAGGTAGTGCTATCCTGATGCATGCCCAATAATCTAGGTAGAAAAATCTAAAAAAAGTTAAATCTGGTCCTCTGGACATTCAAAAAGGTAGTGCTCAAATGTGTTGGGAATGACTCTCAGCTACTACCACACATCTAACACCCCCCCCCACACACACACACACACACACACACACACACACACACACGCAAAATGAAACAAGCTGCTCCTTCTTTTACCCCAACAGTTGCTTTCAGTGTTTCTGGATACTTTAACAGTAAATACATTTGAATGAATGCATGTCTGTAATAAGTCCTGATGCTCAATAAGATGAATCCAACAAGGTTCAGTCAGATCCTCTGGCTGGATTCTTCTTCTTGAAACGTTTCATCATTTATTAAAAAAAATTAAAAAAAAGACTTCAGTCTGAAGAGCTGCAACAAACTCAGTCTTATAAATAGCACCTTCTCATAGTGGATCAACCAGTTTGTAGGTGACAAACAAAACTATTGTTCACATGTAAAGAAAGGGCTATCATCCTAAAGGCCAACCATTAGTGCTCTGATTACACAATAACAGCATTATGAGGGGGGCAGTTGAACACGGAGGCCTCCGTCTGTGTAACGATGGACGAGTTCTCTTCAGAGACGGCTTCCTTTAATCCTCTCTCAAACCAGTGTTCCTCTCTAACAAGGATGTGAACATCGTCTCACAAGTTAGGAGTCATCAGGACTCTGTACCACAGCCTTCTAACTTTGGAGCCAGTGGGAAGGACAAATCCCACACAAAATAGGTCCTGGAGCAATGTGGATATCCTAACTGGGCCTTCCTGACAGAAAATAAGAAACTCAAACAGGACTCCAGTCAGCCACCAGGTGAAAAGGAGGAGCACAGATTTAGGCCAGTGGTCATTCCGTTTGTTGCGGGACTATCAGAGAAACTGAGACGTTTATTTTCTAAATATAACGTCCCAGTGGCTTTTAAAACGCAAAATACATTACGGCAAAGACTGGTTCATCCCAAAGGTCCAGTCCCCCAGCACAGAGTAATGTTGTGTATGCTGTTCAGTGTCAGGAGGGCTGTGATCAGTCTTACATCGGGGAAACTAAACAGCCACTGGCCAAAAGGATGGACCAGCACAGAAGATCAACATCATCAGGCCAGGACTCTGTGGTCTACACTCATCTCCAGGCCAGCGGTCACTCTTTCAGGGATGAAGATGTTCACATCCTGGACAGAGAGGAACGATGGTTTGAGGAAGTGAAGGAAGCCATCTTTATCAAGAGACCTATCCATTGTTAAACAGGGGTGATGGAGTCCATGTTCAACAGTCCCCCTCTTACAATACTGTTCTTGCAAACATCACTCAGCCCTCTGAATAGCAAGTGGCCATCAGGGCACTAACGATCAGATGTTAGTTTACACCTCCTCAGACTAATAAGTTTTTTGGATAAAAAACAAACGTTTCAACAAAGAAGAATCTGTCCAGAGGACCTGACTTAACCTGGTTAGATGTTTGTAATAAGATTACAACTGCTGAGAGTTCTGGTAACAAAAGATTGATCATTTGAGAACATATTTGCCATTTTCATTATCAATATGGGCAGCACGGTGGCGCAACTGGTAGAGCTGCTGCCTCTCAGCAAGAAGGTCCTTGGTTCAAACCCCGGTCCAGGGGCCTTTCTGGGTGGAGTTCGCATGTTCTCTCCGTGCATGCGTGGGTTTTCTCCGGGTGCTCCGGTTTCCTCCCACAGACCAAAAACATGCATGTTAGGCTGATTGGTAACTCTAAATTGTCCCTAGGTGTGAGTGAGAGTGAATGGTTGTTTGTCTCGTTTGTCTCTATGTGTCCCTGTGATGGACTGGAGACCTGTCCAGAGTGTCTCCCGCCCCTCGCACAGTGATTGCTGGACATGGGCACCAGCGACCCCCGTGACCCAAAATGGAATAAACAGTTAAAGATAAGGGATGGATTATCAATATATCCTTAGGTGCAACAAAACAAACTCACAAAAGGACAATTTATATAATTTGTGCTTTATTGACAAAAAAAGATTGTACACATTTTACTCTTGATTGCAGGTGAAGTTGATCATCAGGGTTAACATACCCCCTCATGTTTTAGCTAGCAGGACTGAGCAGCACAGCGCAAACCCGTCCACACTATGGACATAAGCGAGACACAAAGACACCCGAAAGCGTTTGACAGGCGGCTCATAATATATTTAGTTTATTATGGCATCAAAACTAAAGGCATGAAATGGCAACAGATGTGGCCGTTATGAACAGAAAACAGTTGGGACAAGAAAACTGTCCATTGTCTTTGGTGCATCCGTCTGCTAATTATATATAAACTTGTGGACAACAGGTCATATGGTGGGCGCAAATGTTCAGATAAGGGATTAAAACCTCAAACATAATCCAACAAGAAATAAAACTTAAAAGATTTGTGTAAGAGTACGTGACAGAGACTTCACTGAAGTCATAAAACAAAAAGGGACAGCCACAGAAAATCTGCACAGCAAAATCTGGACAGTAGACGTAGTATTACCTGTTAGCATAAAGATATAAATATCTGGCAATAGTAGTTCCTTTTTTAAATTATATCCTTATTTTCTGTTCTAAACACAGAAACCATCTGTATTTGAATGGCTTAAGTAGAGATTACCAGTCACCTAAAATTTTATACCAATATAAACTTATACTTTGTGTGTAACCCAGTCTGTCGTTATTTAATAAGGATTTAAACTTACAATAGAAACTAACAAAAACGCATTTGGAAAAAAAAGTAAAAAACAGTTCAACAACCTGGGAAACAGAATTTTGCTTTAAAGGTTTAAAGAAAATCCTGTCAAATGTTGTTAAATTGTAGATGAAAAGTCAAGTAAAAAATTAGGGTAAATAAAAAATAAAATAAAAAACTTAAGGAATGACGTTCTGACCTAAATATGACATGGTTGTTGGTCTTTTTTTTAAGGTTTGTATTAAGCATAAAAAGACCAAATAAAGGAAAATAAACAGCCCTTAAGGTAAGGCTGAGTTACCCACAAGAAAGACCTTATAATAAACCAAAAAAATTAACATATTATAAACACAAAAGATGTGAAAATAGCCCAATATCAAAAATGGCTTGAAGAACATTATAGTCAAAAAGTATCTTCCCCTGATCTCCTAAAGGCTTATGAAATTAAAGAAAACAAACAAAAAAAAGCACAGAATCTGATGAGTGATCAGGCAGAAGGGCCATTCTGCTTTTGTTTAGACACACAACTCATTTCTTAAGCGCTGATTAAAAAATATAGTCTCGGGTCATCTTGAGGGACGGCATGGCCTCGTTGACGTTCTGGCTCAGGCGTTGATACTCCACCGTGTTACGAGAACATAAACCATCTTTCCATCGACGGCTCTGTACCAGGAGGAGGATCTGAAAAACATCGGGGAGGCGGGATGGAACAGATGTGAGTTTGTGTGAAAAATGCTGACAGAAATCATGTTAATGTGTTTGATGTACATCTGCTGATCCAGTAAAATATTTCTCCGGTTTGACAAGCTGGCAGACAAGATAAAAGTTATAACTGGAATACTTTAGCACTTTAACATCCAAATTGACTTGAACATTGTACAACAAAACCTTTCTCATAACACTTGACAGATGAAAAATGTGTCTTTTATATTATTTTATTGTGAGGATTATCATTTTAAGGTAGTTCACTTATTTTCTTAAGCATAAAATTCTGTTTTACTCTTTAAACTTTCAACTCGGTCACTGAGCTACTCAGATTCCACTGACTCTTTAAAAAAAGATCTTAAGACTTATTTATTCAGACTGGCTTTTAGTTAAATTTTGTTTACCGTTTCTTTTTTGTTTTGCTTGTGAAGCACTTTGTGATGTTATTGTCTGTGAAAGGTGCTATAAAAATAAAGATTACTTACTTACTATTCTTAATAGGTTGAATCCCTGAAACAAAAGGCTGTATGTTTGATCTTTTCCACCCCACTATAATACTAACATATTTTTTTAAGTTAAAAAAAATTGACAAATAAAACATAATGGTAGTCCTTTTCACCACAACATGATGAAGTACACTGACTTTTCTTATCATTTTCAGTCTCCTTCAGACTGAATAGTTGATTCCTGCTATTGAAATTCTACAGGCAGACCCAGTGTTTTACAAAGCATCTGTTCCTATTTATGCCGTTGTTGGACTTTTAAGATTTGTGGTCAAGTCAGCAATCCAGATTTCCCCTGCAAATGTTGGACAATATATTAAAATATAACTAAATGAGCATTTTATGTCATTTCAGGAGGACTTTGTGGTAGTTGGGGATTCTTCAACAACCATCAGAAATTTAGGGGCATGCTGCTTGAAACAGCAAAAGGAAAACAAACGCAAACTCACAAGGTAATGTTTTGGCTAACTGAATTTAACAGTTTTTTTTTTTTTACACTGCAATTATTAAATGGAAAATTAAAAAAATATAGTTACAGCTATAAACAGTAAAAAAATAAATAAATAAAAAAGTCTCAAGCAATTAGAACTTTTTAACTGCTATTTTTGAGATGGGCAGAAAATTTTGAACATTTAAAGCAAAGTGCAAATTTAAAAAAAAAAAAACTATTAACTGTCAACTATTTTCACTTGTTGTTGTTTTTTTTTTACACTATCACCTAGTAGGGACATGTCAAGTTGTTTTATAACGGTGCTGCTCCAGTTGTGGTGCTCCCGCCCACCATAACTCCTGGAAGAAGGAATATATACCATATATATATATATCCACTAGACTGAGGAACAGCTTCTACCCTGAAGCTGTTGGACTCATAAATCCCTAACCAGGATAATCACTGTGTGTGTGTGTTTGTGGTGGGGGGATCATTGTAATGCCACTTTGATTGGTGATATGTGCTGCTGGTTATCCATGCTGCTGATCTCATGTTGCCGATTATCTCATGCTGCTGTATTCAATCAAACCCATCTGTTCACAAAGACTCGTGTTCAGGCTGCTTTTGTTACATCATACTGTTTTGCATTACTAGTATTTAGCGTATATTTTTAATCTTTCGTGTACCATTTGGCGTTCGTTTAGCATATATCTTAGTGTATATCTATGATGATACTTCCGCCAGTTTTTTTAACAGTTAACAATGGTGTACCACAAGGCTCAGTCTTAGGACCACCCTCTTTACAATCTACATACGTAATGTAGGTAAAAACATCCCTAATGCATCCATACATTTCTATGCTGATGACACAGTTGTTTATTGTCAAGCTAAAACAATTGATAAGGCTTTCCAGCTTTTGAAATCTGCATTTGACATCATCCAGACAGATTTGTTCCACCTCAAACTTGTCCTAAATGCCGACAAAACCAAAGGGATGCTTTTTTCAAATAGGAAGTCGGTCCCAGAAGTTCTTCCTCTGATTTCATCCTCAAATGGTGTCCCGGTTAAGTTTGTTGATTCCTATAAATATATGGGTACCGTGGTCGACTCGCATCTCTCTTTTAAGCTCCATGTGGAAAACTTGGTAAAGAAACTGAAAGTTAAACTGGGTTTCTTTTTCAGAAACAGATCCTGTCTAACTCTGAATGCTAGGAAACGCCTTGTATCTGTGACCTTCCTTCCCTCCATTGATTACGGTGACATTATTTACATGAACGCTCCTACAAGAACCCTGCAGATGTTGGATGCAGTCTATCATGGTGCACTAAGATTCATAACTGGCTGTGATTATCGTACCCACCACTGCACCCTGTATTCACTGGTTAACTGGTCATCATTAACTTCACGCAGACTCTCTCACTGGTACATTTTCATCTTTAAATCACTTCTTGGTCTGCTTTCTTCATACATCTCCTCCATGTCTCTGCGTGAGTGCACTACAGCGTGCGCTCTCAGGACATTATTACCTGCAGTGTTTCCTCAGTGCAGACTGAACTTGGTAAAAGGACCTTCTCCTACTCTGCTCCTGTTTCCTGGAATATCTTACAAAAAGATCTGAAGCTCTCGACCTTGACCTCTCTAAGTGGCTTTAAGAATCTGTTGGACTCCTGGCAAAGACCAATGCAGACATGTTCCTGTTTTTAGTTTTCTACATTCGCCTTAAAATCTAGCTGTTTTTTTGTTACTTTTCTTTTTTTTAGACATCCTATTTGTTAAAAAATATATATAAATAAATTATATATATATATATATATATATTTCTATATATATATATATATTAAAAAAAACTGTATGACTTTTTACAACTGTCTATTGTTGTTGTCCATTGTTGTCATCATTCTTTGTTGAAATCAGGTCTCTCTTGTAAATGAGTACTCGAGGCTCAATGGGATTTACCTGTCTAAATAAAGGTTGAATGAATGAATCTTAGATCCTTATATACGGTTTCTTTTTACACTTTATATTTTTGCTGTTTTTGGGTGTAACTGGGACCCTGTGTACATAATTTAGTTCAACCTCATGTACCACATGTGGTGAAATGACAATAAACATACTTGAACTTGAAGCAGGCCACAGTCCTAAATAATAAAAGCAGCAACTGACATTAGCACTCCAGACGGCTTTCCCTGCTTGTAAACAGGTCGTTTGCTGACACTTGTCAAGATAAATAGCTCTGCATGAGAAAAGGGTGAAAAATAACAAATTGTGGGAAGCATAAATTGTTCTATGTTGGTCTTCTGTTTAGAGCATTAGATGGTAGGGAGGGATATGTTTTTGATAAAAATGCCCACCCCTACACAACATAAAAATAATATATTTGATTAGGTCTGGTCAATACCGTAAGAACAGCTGCTCAGCTGTTAACATGCCAACACTCACTTTCCTCTTGTTGTGGTAGGTGATGTAGAAAATGGCCACCAGGAAGGCCACGATGATCAGATGAAAGAAGAAATGCGAATCCTCCTGTTCTGAGTTGTAGTTGTCAGCTTCCTTGTAACGGGTCATGTCCAGCTCATTAACCAGCGGATTTTGGTCCATTTTGCTTTCATTGGAAGTATCAGAGTAGATGCTCTCATCTTCATCATCCTCATTCAAGCCATCATCCTCACTGGTGGGAGTGGTAGATTGCCCATTACTACTGTCCAGCAGGCCAGAACTAATACTTTCTGTGGTGAATGGGCTCAGCTTGCCAACATCATTGAGGGTGTCAGGTACACCAGACTCATTTGGTTCAGTTTTAGTTGGTTCTGGCATTTTGACAGAGGTAGTGGGAGCTACTGATGGAGGGTGTGTAGTGGTATGTGACGAAGCAACTTGTGAGGGCGTTTTACCTGTTGAGATAGCAGGTAGTGTTTTTTTTGTATGAATGCTCTGGGAAGTCTCAGGCAGTTCATCAGCAGAAGAGGCAATTTCAGTGGCTGTATGATCTTTGTCGCTTGATGGATTTGTTTTAGGTTCATTGGATGTTGTGTTCTCATCTTTACCATCTCCTGTTGTGTTGGGTTTACTGGAAGCAGGTGTTGTGTTGGGTTTACTGGAAGCAGGTGTTGTCCTCACATCTTTACCATCTCCTGTTGTGTTGGGTTTACTGGAAGCAGGTGTTGTCTTCACATCTTTACCATCTCCTGTTGTGTTGGGTTTACTGGAAGCAGGTGTTGGGTCCTCTGGAATGGATGAGGTGTTTGCTGCACCTTTACCTTGGTTGGTAGGACTCTGGGATGTTTTCCCCATCTCTGTTGGATAAAAGTAGACACAAGAAATACTTTAGATAGTTAAAAAATAAAAGATGAAATATAAAATTAAATGAAAAACATTAACAATATATTTGCGGAAACAACTGCATTTTTATGTCAAAACAGGGCTCTTAATTAAAAATTCCAAATGCAATGATTTTGCTTCAGACACTTTTACAAAAGACACTTTCATTTCAAGAAGCACACAAGTATATTGCTTCTGGTGACCAGAACTTAGAAAAAGAAGCTGTTGGCAGCCAATATAAAAGCTATAGGTAATAATATAGTTAACAAAAAATAAAATACTTCAACCAAAACAAAGAACAGATGAGAAATTGTAAAAATAACTAACAGGAAACGACTAAAGATCACTCTGAATCTTAAAATGGGAACTTTCATTCAGGGGGAAATGGGAAAATTACACAGATTATCATTACAGGGACACCACAACAACATAGGCAGTGACTGACATCCAGATGTCTCTTTTGATTATGTAGCAATCTTTAATGGGAAGCAAAGCTGTAAATACAAATATTGCTAAATACTACATTAGTTTGTTTGAATTAAGCCCCTGTACACATATCTTCACTTTACCAGTTGTATCCAAGTACATAACAGAATCAATTTTAAAAATCTGATTTATTTTGAGCCGTATCACCCAGCCCAGATGTACATATTGAATGAAAACATAGTTTAGTATACTTTTCTATTTTCTCACAACACAACTAACGTCAGAGAAGTTGTGTTTGCAGATACCCTGTCTAATTCAGATTTACACAAACAGGACATAAATGAGATGTCTGAAAAATGTTTGACAAAGTTTTCCCAATTTTAAGCATACGCAGGTTGTAAATGTTGCAATATTCTAAACCTAAAAAAACTTTTTTTTTTACATTTTGTAAACAAAAAGCACTTTAAAATATATATTTTAACTCAACTCCTGAATGCGTTTTTAAACTATGTCGTCCTTCCTGACTCTATAGCATCATTTAACCAACAAGCATCACCATTATTTCATCCTCTGGGAGCATAAGGCGTTGCCTAGGACCGGACAGGAGGAGAACACTGAGGACTTGAATCACGTAGAAGCAACACTTCTCTAAGAGGAGAAAGAGTCTATTCATAGGCATGGGCCTTCGCCAGCATAAATAATCACTGAACAAGAGACCTTTGTTTTCTTTTACTGAAAAAACAGCATGTGAGATATTCAGCATACAAACATATTTGAAAAGTAATGCAAGATAAGTTATTTGCTTAATTTTGGTAAACATTATGTAAGGAAAGGGAAAAAGTATGTCTCTTTTTTTATTGCTAAAGGGGGAAAAAAGCCATGTGATAATCTGACTGCCATACAGACAAATTATAACATTGAATTTCTATTAAAAAGACAAAAATTACAGAACTTTGATACAATCACTGGACAAACTACTAGGTCACTCAGAGCTTCAATGTCAGCTCAGCTATTTGTTTTTTCCACTTAGTCAACGTAGTGCAAGCACAGTACATCTAAAATAAAACTCATAAAATTACACCCGTCCCAAAATATGACAAGCAGCACTGGAGCTATATTCAGTAAAGTTTGAAGCACTCTACTTCTTAAAAATAAATGGACAATTAACCAGAATTTAGCATAAGCGCATTAATACTACGCAGAGACGAGGATTAGTTTGAAAAATGTGAGGCGATAAATAAAATTTATAAAGTAAAATACTTGATAGTTTTAAAGAGTTGTTTCTTCTTACAAAAAATATCCAGGACTTATAAATGCACTGTAAGTGCTGTTGCTTAAAGAAAGTTCATGTTGCATAAATAACTATAACATCTGTAAACAGATGAAACATGTTTCATACTTGTGTTGAGTAAATGCATTTTATTTAACACAAGTATGAAACATGTTTCAACTGTTTACAGATGTTATAGTTATTTATGCAACATGAACTTTCTTTAAGCAACAACACTTACATGCACTGTAAAAATTTTTTTATCAAATGTCAACAGCCACAACTGTGTCTCCAATTCATCATGTCAACTTCAAATGTTTTTCTTTAATGATTAACAGACAGGTTAAAAAAAATACAGACATCAAACAATTACCTTTTGGACTCGGTCCCTTTATTTGGTCTTGGCAAATCGTTGGGTGTTCTTGTCCTTAAAAACTATGATCTTAACCATCATTATATATTAAATATTAAGTTAATAGGTCGAGAAAAAACAGGCAAGTTGCTTTAGTTTACAGATTTATGAAACAAAACTTTTTCATTCGTTCAACCTTTAGTTAGACAGGTAACTCCCATTGAGCCTCGAGGACTCATTTACAAGAGACCTGATAACTTAAAAGATAAACTTAAAGGTTGTTTATCGCCAGCACATCATTTTAGCTGAGGAATTACTTCCGGAAACATCTTCCGCGTTCTAATACCAATAATAAAAATGCTTATGACGTTTGCTCAACAGAAAAAGGCCTAGTTGTAATTGCCATGACTTGCTAACAGGCGAGAGTAATGCTAACGTCACACACTAAGCTAACTCGATAGCCCCCTGTCGTCAAATTAAAAAATAAGACATCTTCCGCTATCGCTAAAATATCACTCAAGAGTCTTACCGTTCGGTGTTTGTGGAATTGGTGTGGACAGGCAGCCACTGACCAACAGCTGAAGGAAAATAACCAAACAAACAGCGTAAATACTAATCCTGCTTCGCCCCATACTTGCGTACGTCGCCATCTTGTTGACTGACAGAGGAGGTGTGGCCTAGTAATTAAATATGAGGAAGTGGGCGTGGTTTGTTCGGTCCTTCCAGTTTTGCTCGTTTATCTATTTCCAGCAGTATCCCTGTCTATTTAGATTTTATATTTTTGCATTGAACTGCAGCCATTCTGTTTAGTCTCTTGTGGTCAGTTCCATTTTACTTGTATTGTTGTACGGGCCTTGTGTATGAATGTGCCTTTTATAAAATACAGTAGATCTTGTAGGCCTTGTATTTTTAAAATTTTCTGAATATTTTTATATGGTTTACGAAGACCTTAGACGATACAAATGCTTTCACTGTTCGGATCTGTTGTGACACAAGCACTCAGTTTAAAACAAAGTATTTTCTCCTAAATTATAGCTCAGTGCAAGTGAATTTGTCAATAACAAAAAAGTTAATCACCTTCCATTATATTGATTTCTGGTTTCTTTAAGACCTCCGTAACAATTTAGTCATAATTCAGACATCCAGTAACAACCTTTAGGATGTCAGGGTGGTAATGGCATTACATATAAAAAAAATGGGAAAGTTGTTTTTTTATCAGGAACTCTCGACTGTAAAACCGAATTACCAATACTTCCCTTTACCATTTTCATTTCTGTAGTGCCTTTGAGCAAAACCCACAAATTTAACCGCTTTAATGAAGCTGCTCACAGTCCAACAATAGTGTATTAGTGTGATTGTAATGATAAAGAGGCAGCCACATAAAATTACCCTAAGAAAGTTTACTAATCAGATGCAGATCACAAGGGAGGCAAAAAAAAAAGAAGAAGAAACTGGATCAAGACGCTTTTTATTTAGTTCCAAGGAGTGACAATCCTGTCAAGCACAACAATCTTGATTCCCATAATCAGTTGTGGAAGACAACCATTTCCTGGAGTGCATTTATTCTTTCCATCCTCCTCCTAAAAAGCACAAACTCTGACCAAGAGCTCAGTTACGTGCATGACAATTGGACCTGTTGTGTTCTTGACCAGATAAATTTATACATCTGCCTTAGTAAGACTTCAAGTGGTTTCAACTACACAAGACTCTCATAAAATAATATTCTCTGCTGCTAAACGTAACAACATGACTCTCACCAAATGCACAGACACAAAAAAAGACAGGTGACACAAAAATATAGAATGTACACATTGGGATGTAGTGTCTCTTGGAGCTACTGGTAGCTGCGTACATCCGGGACAACTAACTCTTCCCCTTTAAAATAAAGACGTAGACAAGCTCAGTGTTGAAATATTCGAATAAAACTTTTTCGCTATACCTTTTGAAGTAAAGTGTTCATTTGTGCTATGTAACAGCACCATCTGAAGGCATAAATTCACAACTGCGTAACGGTGTCATGCCGGTTTTGGATTTGGGGCTGATTTGATTTAAATTGTCCCTTTTCACTTGATTTAAAATATACAAGAAAAATTTTTTTAAAGCATTGCATGAGAATGTATAAGAAAAAATAAACGAGACCAACATGAATGCATTCAAGGCTTCTGCAAGTTATGCAATGTACCATCGAACCTTCAATTAAACTATCAGTTTTGTTCCAAAATTCACCACTCTGCCTTGCTTCTACCTGTAACATGTTTAAGGGGAAGGGGGTTTGTGAGGTGGGACTAGTAAAAGGATTGATTTCTTCTTTTTTTTGGTGAGAAAATGCTCGTAGAAGAGCCACTGGCTTTTCCCCCTCTTATGCCTGGAACTCAAGACCAAGACCGAGCTTGTGGCCACCGGAGTTGATATTTTTGCCATCAAGTAGAGCAGAGAGCGTAAGCTTGATGCCTGCAAAACAAAAAGTATACATTTTACACCACTTAATTAAATATTTATAGAGGCTGCTACTTGAATTACTCAATATTTAAATTACAGTAGTCCCTCGTTTATCGCAGGGGATCACCCTGAAGCCCAGAGATAAGTGAAAAACCGAAGTAGGGATAGTAGTACAAGGATTAAGTAGTAGTTTATTTTATTTATTTTTTAAGGAGTTTTAAACCTTCCCACACTCTTGTAATATTCTAAACAATGTTTCTAAACTCTGAAAGCTCTAAAAAGAGCAAAGAATGTCATGTTTTCAACTCCCTACATTCTTTGCTCTGTGCCACCTGCAAGCGCTCTTGGCCACGCTCACTTCTCAGCTCTGCACGGTGAACAGTTGATCATGCATGGAGATCAGCTGATCAGCTGCAGCAGGAAGATTATCCTGCAGTATGGGCTGCACAAAGATGCAGGAGGAAGCTTTTTCTGCAGCTGTGTGCTGCACAAATGTGCAGCAGGTGCTAAATAATTTAAGATAATTTATTTTAAATAAAAATTCCATGCCGATCCTGCGGCTCATCCATCAATCAGCCAACTGTGTGTCATGTCCAATCTTATTTTGAACAACCGCGATAGAGCGAGTCCACGATAAACAAACCACGAAGTAGCGAGGGACTACTGTACTCAAGATCCTAAACAGCGCCCAAATCTGACACCTAATGTTCCTTCAATACTTTCACTTGTAAATCTTTGTAGAAATCATTCTTGTTAAATAGCTTTTTGAGTAATCATTAAAATATTGATTTGTGAGACGAGTCAGAAATTACAATTCATTTAAACAAATGACTAATAATCAACTGGCTGTTCTCACCTGGCTTCAGAGTCTGAGTATAGCCCAGTCCCACCAGGCTGGAGTTGTTCACCTTGGCCTGTGTACAAATTTGAAAGGAAACAATTAAATGTTAAATATTTAATTAAATAACTTCTATTTAACCACTTAGGTTTGACTTCTGAAAACTGAAAATCTACACCAACGTGCAAGGTAAAATAATGAGTTGAATTGTAGCCCCTTCGCCAACGTTTTCAAAGATTTACTTAAAATAATTAACATATCCATATTAAAAATAGATCTCCTTTTATGATAATGAAGAATCTTGTGAAAGTAATAAATGCTTAAAGTATGTTCTAACTTGAACTTGTTACAGTAAACCAATTTATAATTTAAAAAACTGTCAGTTCAAACAAACGTGGTCCCGAAAACAGACCTTAACAACCAAGCGCACTAATTGGCTCGGCTGCAAGGGGGATTTACGACTAATGTGATAGACGGGACTAAATTAGCAGAAGCCTTTCTGCAGCAGACGGACTCCTCCTGATGAACATTTTGCTTGAATGGAGAGTCAAGGGAAATGTGATCCATTACACTTTATGGACTTATAGCTGTGGAGCCTTTACATCAGAATAAACCTCTTTTAGGCAAACAAGTCCACACAAACGCCTTGATTTTAAAGGGGGAACTTTTTAATTACAACTAATTTGAAAATGCAAGTTACTCACAGAGAAAGATGCATCCGAATCAATCTGATACTTGGCAGCGATGCCGAAGCGGGTGTTGCTGTTCCCAGCAGTCCAGGCCAGGTTGACAGCTGTTTCCAGCTTGTCGTTCACCTTCTGGTAGATGGAACCACCAAACTCTGTACCATCATTTCTGAGGAAATAACGGTTTCTGATTAATTTCACAGAACTGCAGTACAATTATAATTTATTTCCAGTTTCCATCTAAAAAAAAAAAAAAAAAAAAAAGCAACTAAAACTTTTGCGGGAAAAATAAATAAAAAAAAGCTTTTTGGATCTTACACGTCTGACCTGAAAACATCTAAGATTCACCTTCACTGATGAAAAGCCCACATTAACCTTAGTCTGACCCTGCATTACCACTTTAGCTGCAGACTGAAACTGACGAGGTTTGTCAGAGGGCACAGCAGGAACAAGCCCTGTCCCTCACGATCACCGTCTGACACCATTTCCTTTTTTGTGTTCTCACTGCAAACCACTCCATCTCACTTCAATAAGAACTCCTTTCACTTGGGTGAACAAATAACCAAGTGGCTTCTAACAGAAACCTGAACAGGCAACAAGAAAATGTGTTGGGCAAAGTAAAAAAAAAAAAAAAACATTTTGTGTAGGAGCAATACAGGTGCATCTCAAAAAATTTTAATATCATGAAAAAGTTAGATTTTTTTTGTCAATCATTTTAGAAAGTGAAACTCATTCATTTCACAGAGTGAAATAATTCAAACCTTTATTTTTTGTAATTTTGATGACTATGTCTTACAGATATTAAAAAACAACAGCTCAGAAAAATTGAATACTGCATTGTGAATACTGTAAACTCATGATGGCACAGCCTAATCAGTTGATTAACTCCAGACATGAGCTACAAATGTCTCATTAAGTCAAGCCACTCCTGAACCAGAGACGACGTCAGAAGTGTCTTACCTGCTGAGGAGACAAAGAACTGGACTGTTGCTCAGTGGTCCAATGTCCTCTTTTCAGATGAAAGTAAATTCTGCATGTCATTTAGAAATCAAGGCCCCAGAGTCTGGAGGAAGAGTGGAGAGGTCCAGAATCCATGTTGCTTGAAGTCCAGAGAGGTTTCCAGAGTCAGTGATGGTTTGAGGCCATGTCCTCTGCTGGTGCTGGTCCACTGTGTTTTCTGAAGTTCACACTCAACGCTGCATCTACCAGGACATTTTAGAGACTTCATGCTGCCTTCTGCTGACGAGCTTTATGGAGATGCCGATTTCATTTTCCAACAGGACTTGGCTCCTGCCCACTCTGCCAAAGGTGTCAAAAGCTGGCGATGGATGGATGGATCCATTATCGTCCGCTTATTCCAGTCGGGTCGTGGGGGCAGCAGCTTGAGCAGGAAGGTCCAAACATCTCTTTCTTCAGCCAACTCTTCCAGCTCTTCTGGGAGGACTCCAAGGTGTTCTCAGGCCAATCGACAGTCTCTCCAGCTTCTCCTGGGTCTTCCCAGGGGTCTCCTCCTAATCGGACATACCTGAAGCTCCTCTCCAGGGAGGTGCTCAGGGAGCATCCTTACCAAATACCCGAACCCTCAACTGGCTCCTGTCGATGTGGAGGAGCAGTGGTTCTAATCTGAGTCTCTCCCAGATGACTGAACTTCTCACCCTATCACTATGGGATCCAACTACCCTGCAGAGGAAACTCATTTCAACTGCTGGCTACGTCCATCCAGCCATCATCTTTACCCGCTTCTTCCTTTTAGGGTTGTGGGGGTCACTGCCCATTTCCAGCAGTCACTGTATGAGAGGCGGGGGGACAGCCTGGAAAGGTCTCCAGTCCATCACAGGAACACATACAGAGACAAATGAGACAAACACTCACACTCTCATTCATACCTAGGGACAATTTAGAGTTACCAATCAGCCTAACATGCATGTTTTTGGTCAGTGGGAGGAAACCGGAGTATCCAGAGAAAACCCACGCATGCACGGAGAGAACATGCAAACCACCCAGAAAGGCCCCCTGACTGGGATTCGATCCAGCGACCTTCTCGCTGAGAGGCGGCAGCTCAACCAACTGAGTCACCGCTGGCTGTGTAATATTTTCATTTTCTGAGACTGAATTTTGTTTTGTTTTTTTCCTAAAAAATTATATGAAACAGGCTTGAAACATTTCACTCTGTGTAATGAATCCATGTAATCTGAGTTTCACTTTCTGAAATGATTGACAAAAAATATTGAACTTTGTTATGATATTCTAATTTTTTTTAGATACACCTGTACTAGAGCTATTGATCCGTTTCCACAAGAGCAGTTTTAGTGCTCGACCATCCCCACCATTTGGAGAGACCTAAACCAAACAAACAATGAGCTCCTGCAGTAGAAAAATGCCCAAACGGTGCATTGTTTTGTCCTGTGACAACAAGCATTCAAGTAAAGTTGAAAACTGTAAACAGACTGACAAACTTCTACATATTTCCATCTGCCCAAAAGCAGCCAGAGTGGAGAAACAGTTCTTGTACTTATAATAGGAAGTGAATTGCTAAATAATTTTGTTAATTTTTTATATTTAAATATAAGTCTCTCTAACCTGATCCTTCATATAAGTAGTGTTAGATGATGGTGTATTCTACTTGCGGTTATTCATTAAGATTGTTTTCTATGATGTCACTGGAAGTCTATATTAGCACATTTTTAAGTTCCAAAACTCTGATTTCTGCATCAACCTCGTCTTAATGTCTGGAAAAAGTTGATCAAAGTAATCATAAGACAAGGCCAGCGAGAACTATTTATAAATTTATACTTTTTTTTTTTTAAATCAATACAGACAGATTGTTGATATGTTTTTAACTCTAGTCCCCTAAAATGGTTGACACCTAGCTGGGGAGGCAACCTTTAGAGATTTAGAGAGTTAAAACTATAGCATAATACGTCTTCCAATTTTTTTTCTACAATAAATTTGAATTCCCACAAGATGCATCACTTATTAGTTCAGTATTAATTTGAATAACTTAATTTCAGGAGAATCAATATTAGATCTACAACTTATAAGATGGTGGAAGAGCGTGTGATGTTCATGCGCTGCTTCTTGTAGACTTACACATTTGTATGGAGCTGGAACTCATCAGTCATGTATCCAACAGCAAAGTTGCTCTGAGTGACCTTGTTCCTCCCCGCCTCAAAGGTCGTCTGGTAGCCAGCGAGCCAGCCCTCATAGCCCACCACGCCGGCACCGTGGATAGCTGTGCCATTGATGTCATAGTTGACGTCGCAGCCGAGGTTGACGTGGTCACATTTGTAGCCCGTCTTGATCTTGCCACCTTTCTTGCTGACAGTATGTTTAGGAGAAATTTAAAAATTATTATTGACATTCTATGGATACACCCAACTTTATGGCAATGTACTAAAAAAGTGATGTTCATTAAGACGAGGTACCCAGTTATCAGAAGTAAACTGTTGAAAAAAGTCATTACCCAGTGTTTGGGGAGAAGGAGGACTCAAATGTGAGCTTCAGACCTTTAGTCAACTGTGGAAAAAGCAGGAGATGACATTACAACAAAGACTGTCATCGTACCCTGTGCTAGTTTTAACAGGAGGAATACATTTGAAAAACATTTATATTTATAGAGCTATAGTTTGTTTAAAACCCAGTTCAGATATACTTTGGACTCGTTACAATCCTTGGCAAATAGCAACACGAGTCACATTTAAAAAAAAAACATTAATTACATGCTCTCCAAATATATTTTAATATTACTTGTCACACCACATCACCTGGTCCTCAATGGTGATCTCCGTCCCCAGGGTGTTGTCAGTGTTCCACTTCTCTGTGAAGGTCAGTCCATGCTCCATCCACTTGTACTTGGTCTCCAACGACCCAGCAACTTTACTGGTCTCAGTATTGGCAGAACATGCGCTGGTGAACTCCTATAGGCAAAAATAACCCGTCATATAGAAGTTTCTAATAGATGAATATTTATTCGGGACAAAACATTTCAGTATTGATGTGTGTGATGCTCACAAAGTAGTGTTTAGTCTGAAACACATGAAAAGCATTTAGGATTTTCTTTTTGTTTTTTGGCTGATATAAGTTCAACACTCTGTCATACTTTGGTTTTTGAACAGCTACTTGATCCAAAATCTTGAGTGCATTTACACAGTAGTTAAACATCTTTGCATTTAGTATGGAACAAAATTCAAATGTAGAGATACATTGATTTTTAACACTTTTTCTTTTCTTTTTGAATACAAATTAATTCAAACATTTTGTGGGAATCAGACAACGAGCTTCACTGTCAGCAAGGACCTTCTAAAGCAATAGACTCCCGCAGCCTGAACTGGAAGAACTGATAATCTGATAATGAATGGTGGCAACTTACCAGTCCATTGTCAGACTTTGTCTTCAAGTCCAGCTTGATGAGCCCGAATCCTGAAACCGTATTAACAATAAATCAGTAAATAAATCCAAACAGCATCAGGAAGGCAGTGAAATAATAACCAGGTAAACCCTTTAAACACATGAAAAACTCACTCAGATTCTTAAATGTTTAATAGGATAAAAACTCGAATCGAGTCATTTTTATTAGACGATGAAAACTTTGTGTCGCTCTCCAACATCACGTTTGTTAATCTGGTTTCATAGCAAAATGCCTCTTTTAAAGTTTTATTCTGCACTTTGTCACAAGAGACATTCTGAAAATAACCCGTTTTCTTTTTTTTTTTTAATCATAAAAGTATTTTCACAATACCCTGCACAACTTTGATTGACAGCTAGAGATGATGATATTATTGCTATGAATAAGAACAACAGAGCTCAAGATGAAGAACCTTTTCTTTTGCATTAGTCCTGAGCCTCAACATGCAGCCACTGTTACACAGATTATAATTCAGCCTTGGTGGTACGTAAAAATCAAACAGGTGAAAGATGTTGAAATATCCAAGTTATTTTATTGAACATTGGTGTTTAACCACCATGCACCACGCAGCAGTGTGTAAAACAGAAACTCTTAATTAAATCAGCAGGAAGACTTTCGACCTTTATATCTTAAACCAGTGTTTCACTGCGATTCTAAATACATTCTCTAAATAATTCCTCTGCAGAATTAGTAGAAATAACTACGGTTAAGTGCGACTGGCCTTTTGGTGCTTACCATATCCTTTTGTAAAAACATCCCTGGCTGACTTTCCAAGGTCAACGTAGGTGGGAGGTACAGCCATTATCTGGAGAAGAAAGCAAAAAAAGAGTTTGTATGTTCAAACTCTTGCCTTGCAGTTTGGCAAAACTAAAGCTGAAACCAGAACAAAGGTGGGCTAACGGAACTAAGTGAGCATAAAGTTTCCAAAACAAAAAAAAGGCAAGGGCAAATGAAGGTCATTGACTGGAAAAAAGTGAAAATTGTTCTTTACTACACTGACTTTCCTCCCTTATAGCATTCTACAGCATTAAAAAAAAAAGTACTTTTGTCCTAGCCATTGTGAATACTTTAGCCAAGTATGCCCTCTTCATTTAAAACTATTTCACATAAAACACAAGTTATTTTATGTACCTTAAGCTCGTGTTTCAAACTGAAAACAGCCAAGTACAGAATGGACAAAGAGAGTTGTGTGCTAATCTTATGAGCCGCCTGCTATCATGTATGAGAGCAACTCTTTGTCCTTTACTTTATTCACATCCAGTTGAGCAAGACATTTCATCACCCACAAGGTGTAAAAAGCATTTATAAAAAAACAGTACAGGAACAGAAGTTGCACAGGAGTATTGATAAACATGTTCATATTGACAGAAGATAGTATATATTTAAACAGAATGGAGAGTCCACACCATGAAGGAAACTTTGAATTATACTATTTTGTGTCGTTGCAATTCCTGATTTACTGGCAAAAACCAAATCAAACCTGTCAAATGATCGAATTAAACAACCACAACTGAATGAGTGTGAATTTGGAAAGTTACAGACCAATATTATATGCGTGCCTGTTCAGTGAACGAATGGAATTAAAATCCAGTTTTATTCCAGCTGGATTAACTGTCAAAAGTCATTAAGATTGCGATCGATGTAATCACCTTTACGAGCTTAAAACAGTCATCTCCAAACTTTTGGCTTATGACTTCTGAAAAGTAATGCGTTTATAAGACTCATTAATTCAACCACACTTAGTTTAACTTCAGCATATTGAAAAAAAAAACATTAAAAATTTCAGTTTATTAAAAAATAAATAAAAACATGGAAATATTTTGCATATATGAACTTTTTTTGTTGTTGTCTCAAGACATTTTTCAACTACTGATATTGGTCTCAGAATAAATAACCGTGCAAACAAGATTAAATAATACATTATTAAGAATAAAAATGCTAACCAACAAAAATATTACTTGGATCCAACTGAAACTCTTCGTGGGACATCTAAGATATGTTTTGACTCTATACTTCTCTCTTTTACTTGAGCAGGATTTTCAGAACAGTGAAAATGACTACATCCATCTAGCACATTGCATCAACCAACTTGTTTGTGAGTAGCTTTAAATTTCCTCTCAAATTCTAATTAACCAACTATACTTCATGAGTATCTTACAATAAAGTGTAGCTCTCAATGTCAGATCATTCATGGGACCTTCAGACAGCCCTGAAACCAGTCATGGCTATATTGACGAAATGACAAGGCCGGTGACTCAGTGGGCTCCACACACACCCTCGCATGGTTTCCTCACATGCAGAAATGTCATAAGGACGTATAGAGGACGTGGGAATAGGTGCCAACCCAGCTGAGGTGTCCAGTAGGGTTTAAAGACTTCTGGTTTACGGGTACATTTATACACACCACGAATATCACTGAAAGAGTCAAGCTGCACGATGTACTCCAAGCATCTGTACATTTAACCGTCCTTCAGCACCACTTTCCTTAAGCCTCAAGGAAAAATAACTGAGACAAAAGTAAAAAAAAATGTGGTTAAAAATTGCTGGGTTTAAAAAAAATATAAAAAAGACAAATATACTGAAGCCACACTCGTGACAAAAAGGTTAATACATTGAGGCAGCATCATGCCCTCGCTTGGCTAACAAATTAGCACTAGCTTACTGTCAAGGTGGTAAGGAGGGAAAAGTGAATCTGATAAGCAACAAAACGGCTCGTGAAGCAGAGAGCTCGTGACCTGCCAAAGCTATGAAAAATGATGAACTTCTTGATGACCATCAACCTGCACAACTGCCGACTACTTTCCAATTCAAATGACCGCAACGCCAGATATTAGCCAACAAGCTAGCTGCAGTTGGCAAGAGTAGCAGGCCCAGCATCTTACTGCATTTGCGTCCTGCTTCGGTTGAACCTGGCAGAAAAACGGAACTCACGACTCAGAAATCACTCACTGACATGGCTGAGCAGTGATGTAAGTTTTAGCTGTGTAATATTCCACTTAAAAGATACCAAACGTACCTGTGTATATGCGCGTGTCCCAGTACTAGCCGAGAAGTAGCTATAAACCGCACAAAGGGAGGAGACAGGAGAGAGAAGGGGCGGAGTCATGTAACTCATGTAGGTTAAAAGTGTGGCATGCCAAATTAACATATATTTGTTAAACGTGCTCCCTATCTCTGGAAGCCCGTTTCCGCAACAAGAAATAAAACGTAAAATGATATTTCATAATTTCGATTTTGCACATTCACATACATATAAAGTCAGTTAATAACGTTAATTATCTAAGAAGTCACCAGGAGCTATGCTGTTAAGATCAATTATTATTATTATTATTTTATTAACCTTTATTTAATCAGGCAAATCCCATTGAGATCACAGATCTCTTTTGCAAGGGAGGCCTGGGTTGAAGGCAGCCCAACATGCATGGTTTTGGTTTGTGGGAGGAAAACGGAGCGCCCAGAAAAAATCCATGCAAGCACAGAAGAACATGCAAAGTCCACACAGAAAAACCCAAGGTCCAAATTATAATTGCACCATGTAGGGTCTCCCAAGGCAAATTGGTCCTGGGTGACAGGCCAGACAAATAGAGTGATGTCGAATATATGGACAGGAAAAAAAAAAACAAGGAGCTCAGTGTCCCTTGCCCAGACATGGGTTACCAGGGCCCCACTCTGGAGCCAGGACTGGTGGAGGGGCTCTTCAGCGAGTGCCTGGTGACTGGGTCTCTACCCATGGGGCCCGTAGGACTCAGCTCGAAGGAGTTTGCCTTCCTGTGGGCCCACCACCTGCAGGAGGGCCATACTAGTTGGGTACATGCTGCCATGGGCAGTGGCTGAAGGCAGTGGCCGAAGGCAGTGGCCGAAGACGGGTCCTTGGCGATCTGACCCTTACCAAATCTGGCTAATGGGACATGAATGTAACCTTGGCTGGTTAGCCCATCCCAGAAGAGCTGGAAGAGATGGCAAATGCTCAAGCTCCTATTCCTGAGACCCAATTTCGGAATAAGCAGAAAATAATGGATGGATGGATGGATGGATGGATGGATGGATGGATGGATGGATGGATGGATGGATGGATGGATGGATGGATGATGGATGGATGGATGGATGGATGGATGGATGGATGGATGATGGATGGATGGATGGATGGATGGATGGATGGATGGATGGATGATGGATGGATGA